GAGTGGAAAAATCCTCATGCTTTACTAAAAGCACAACAAAGCAATCAAACAAGAATAGAGCAGAGTGAGAGCAACATGCCATATAATCAGAGGATTTCAGATTTCTTCTGAAAATTCAAAGGTATCACTGACTTAATATTTATTGAACACCATGAAGCAGATTTCCAAGGGCATAGTCCAGTGAAGCATGATCTATAATATTTGTGCTCATACTGAAGACTGTCTCAAATATCTTAGAAAGATTTTAACAAGCAAAATTATGACATTAAGATGGTGGAGAAAAATGGAAAATAATTGAACTTAAAAGCCTATTGAAAAAAATTAAATGTATGCATAAAGAAAATAATCTCATTTTCAGAGAATAGTATAACTACTATTGAGTGAAGTATGTATCTTGGTTTCAAATAACCCTTTCTTTTCATTTACTTTATACCCTGGTAATAAAAACAAAATCAAAGATGTGTCTACTCTGTGTCTCCCGCACAACATCAGTGGATTAGGAGACTCTGAACTTCGGCTCCTGTGGGTTCTTGTAGGTGTTCACTGCCGGCCTTTGTGGTTTTCTGATTTCTCCCTTTAGCAACTATGTAAAACAATGTATTCTGAATGTGAAAAATGGCTACTTTTCCTCCATAAACATCCCATACGTATTTGTCATTTTTAACATTATCTGTCCAGGATTACACATCCGCCAGTGGAAAAGCAACTATCTTTTCAACTTTTTTTTCCCTATTAACACAGCTCTCTATAAATGAGTATTGCTATTCTATTATTGCTATTCATATTTTTAATGATACTACCTTTTTCAAGTATTCTACCAGTGACATCCAAAAATCATACCATTATACAATAAAGAAATCAAACATTTGTCTTGATACATACTATATCATATTTCGTCACACAGTATTATTACAGATGGAAAACTTATAGTTATGTGCTTATAGTTCATCTGTAAATTAAAAAAATTCTAAGGCAGGTGGATATATTGCTGCTGGTGTTTACCTGCTTTGAGGCAGTTCTGATGATGTCCAATACAGATGAAGAGATAGTGTTGATGTTGCCCTAGAGTTGGCTCTGAATCACGGTGACCTGCTGTATAAGGAAACTAAGCATTGCCTGGTCACCATATTTATGATCTTTGGGATGTTTGAGTTCACTGTTTTATCTTGTGTGTCCATTGTTTTATTGAGGGTCTTTCCCCCCCACTGCTCTACTTTAGCATGTATGCCCACCTCTCTAAACACGTCCAAAAGACGTGAGTCAGAATTGTCTCAACCTTCTTGCTGCCAAGGTACATTCTGGTTTGATTTTTTCCTAAAATGGATTTGTTCATCCTTCTGAGAGTTTTCATTGCACAGTTTTTTGTATGTGCATGAAGTGATGGCCCCATAGTTTGAGTCATACCAAACTTTTCATGCTATCTGCATTTTAAAAACCTTTAAAGAGGTCTTTGGCTGTATATGTGCCTAATATAATTTGTCAATTGATTTTGTGAATGCTGCTTCCAAAGACACTGATTAATAATACATGTAGAATGAAATCTTTGACAACTTCAATGAATCTTATTTGATTGTGGTATACTGAGTTGGTGAAATTGTCGGGATCCATGTTTCATCCAGGTGCGGGTATGGTAAGTGCTTTCAGCTATGTTTACTTTTGGCAAGTAAGGCTGCATCACGTACGCATCACAAGTTGTTAATGAGTCTTCTTCTAATCCTGATACTACATTCTTTTTCTTGTAGTCCAGATCCTTAGATTATTTTTTCAACATACAGATCGGATAAGGAAAAGAAAAGAATACATCCTTGCTACACCCCCTCTTCAATAATGAAGGTGCAATGTACATTTGTTCCTTCAAAGAACTGCACTTTATATGAACATTCTCCAACTACTAATCTTTACAATGTCTAAAATAATTTTTTACTCTCTACCAAGTCAAATTATTTTGCATAATAAGTAAGCATAAGACTTATGCATATTTTCAATGTTCTTTGTTTTCAGACAAGATTCATCCCCAATCAGCAATGATATCCCTCATTTTACATCATCCTCTAAATCAAGCTTGAGCTTCTGAAAGTTTCTTTTTGACCAACAGCTACAATCATTTAACATTTATGTTCTGTAGCATTTTGTGATATTGGTGATGTTCTACAATGATTTCCATTTTTCTTTTGGTCGTCTGTCTTAAGATAGGCATAAATATGAATTTCAGATCGTTGGCTAAGCAGTTGTCTTTAAATGCATGTAAATACATAACCAATTTCTAACTTTACATCTATTTATTGAAGATCAGGTGGCATTTTGCCACTTTATCTTTTTTTACTATACTTTTAGATGGCTACTTGATGAGACTTCTTGCCCTATACTTAAAGCACTTTTCAAAAAAGCTGTTATCTGCTCTAAATGATTATGCAAACATTATTTTATCATTATAATGTGATAATTGCAATTATTCAAAAGAAGAAACATAAAATGCTTTTTGATTATCAAGTATTCTAATTATCTAATTTCTCTTTATGACTCTGGATTTCTAAAATATAGACTTTTTTCCTCATACATAATTTTGACATAATCGTAGAATTATTACAATATTCAATAAACTTTTTGTGCTTGCTTTAAAATTCATAAACTTTACTTATTATCATATGTACCATTGTTCCATTCAAAGAACTGAACTTTATATGAATATTCTCCAACTATTAATCTTTATAATGCCAAAAATAATTTTTTACTCTCTACCAAGTCAAATGATTAACTATTACTTTGTAATAGTTAATGAAATTGCTTAGATTTTCTTTAATTTAAGAACAATGTAGTACTATTTTAGGTATATATCTATTAAACTAGTGTAGCTATTTCAACTCTCCAAACTGAAAACTAAAATTTATCAGATAATATAGTCTCATACCTTGTGTTCTTTTATATCAAATATTTTGCTAAGACAAAACATATGAGCAGTAGTATTTTAGGCAATATTTTTATTTGCTTCTATCACCAGACCTAATTATTCATATCTTTGCTATGATGCCATAAAAAGAACATATTAGTCCCACTATATTTTATTGTTTTCATAATTTCTAATTTCACCATTATGTTACTATAAACATATTTTAGCATGCTTCATAAATATAGGTTTTGATAGGGTTATTGATGCTTGATATACCATATGAGTTTATTTCCTAGTTATAATGTAGACTTTAACTGACATTATTTAGTTAAATTCATGTACTTTTACAGAAGAATGGGCATTATTGGAAGAATAAATCATTTGATTAATTAGAATATTAGTAAAGTAAGAATATTTATTGATAAATTGTTTAGAACTCTGACCAAGAACAGATCTTGCAGTTAAAC